ATGCCAGGGGCGGGAGCTGCCCCGCTCCTCCTCCGCGTCCCGGGTCTGCGGGGGCTTCCGAGAGCCTTTCCCGTTGCCGAAAGAGTGGGTGATGGTGGGGGGAAAGGCTCTGCTCCTCTTGCTTTCTGGCCCGCGGTGACCTCCTCGGCTCCCGCAGTGGAGGAGCAGCCAGGTGTGAAACTTGGGATGTGGCTCTCTGGATGCAGAGCAGTTTCTGGTTTTGATGTGGCTCCAAGCCTCCGCCGACCCACGTGCAGCAGCACGGCGTTGTTTGGGAGCACAGATCGTGGCAGAGGCTGGCTCGATCAGTTTGGTTTCCTTTCACTCTAATTTCCCCTCCTGTTTTTCTTCGGAAACCTTTGCTCATCCTCCCGGTGTCCCCTGGGTGGTCAGGAGCAGGACACCTCTACGCCAGCGGGGAGAAGAGGATTTCTCTTCAGCTGCAGCTGTGAGCAGAGCCCATCTTATGGGCATGAAGCCATTCCCGGCGGGTTTTCCCTGCGGCTCTCTGGAGAAGGGCCAGGCTCCTCGCTCCCCCTGCTCCAGGATGGCCGCGGGTCGATGGGGAGGACGTGGATCTCCCGCAGCAAAGCCCGCCCGGCTGGCACTCCCCTCGCCGAGCAGGGCTGGCAGGGGTGAGCGCCAGCACACACCACCCATGGCCTCTCCGTAGCCGTGGACATTGCCTCTGCCGGGCTCTGCTCCTCCCGGGGAGATGCCGTCACGGCGCTGGCTCCCCTTTTCCTTCTGAGTTCCCTCTGCAGCCCCAGCCGGCCTGAGGAAGGTGGCTGCAAGCATGGGCTGGGGTTCCTCGGCTTTGGCTCAGTCAAAGCCCGGCTTTGAACTCATCTTGGGGACTTAGAAACCAAACTCAGCTTGGTGCCTTTTCCTAGTGCTCCTTTGGGTATGGTTTTGCTATTTTAAAAGAAGTGTATATATACAACCCATGCTGAAGGGCTTAGTTCATGTGTTTTTAGGACAGACTGGAAAAGGCAGAGGAAAATGGGAAAATAGTCATAATGGGCAAGAAGCTCTTCTCTTCCGTCTGCGGTTGGAAGGGGTCTGCACGTGACGCGCTGACGGGGCGCTTGTGTTTCAGGTCAGCATCCCCAGCGCGGCTTTCTGGTGGAGGCTTCTTTTCCTTCTCAAGTTTCCAGGCGAGGCAGGAGCGGAGGAGAAAGGCGACGCAAGCCCGCTGCTTTATCAGCATGCACTTTCTTTTCTTCCTCCCGTCTGGTTTATGGATCCTCCCTGGGGGGGAAGATGAGAGCCGTCCTCCCCCAGCTTCGTCATGGCAACCGGCGGAGGCAGGACCGGCTTGGTGGGATGCACTGCTGGGGGTGGGGGGGTGTTGGAGTTCTCTCCTGCTTCTCCCTCAGTCCGTCCCTCTGGAATGGGATGGGGGAAGGAGTGTGGAGCAGCTGGCCTGGTCTGGGGGTTATCTCTTCCCCCCCAGTCATAGACTGCAGTTGCTTGGATTTTTCATACGGGCTTTTGAAGTTGGTTGGTTTTTCTCTGGAGGATGGGGTTTAAGCTGTGGGCTGGGTTATTTCCCCCAGTCCGGTCCTGCCTTTTGGTCATTTCTGGGAGCGGTGCGAATGCGATGGCGTCCTGGAGGAAGCTGTGTTTCAGGTGCTGGCTTTCTGCTGGCGCGTTGCTTCGAGGTCCGTGGGTGGAGGTTTTTGATCCGGTGGCAGGCAGAGGCAGGGCTGTGGAGAGCTGGCCTTCGCGCGTCGGAGGTGGCTGCTGCCCCTCGCAGCCCCGGCGCCCTGCTGAGGTGGTGCTGCTGCTTTTTCTCCAAACGCATCTGGAGAAGTGCGAGAACCAAGCAGCAAACGGGTTACAACTCTTCCATTTTTCTCGTGTCAAACAGCCACTTCTGTGACACTCACCGGTGTGCAGACGCGTGAGCTCCCAGTTCACCGTTCCGAGTCCTTTTGCCTTATCCCTCGCCTTTCCCTCCCAGGGGTCTGGGCTGTCGGTCACGACGAGCTGCAGGGGCTCTTCCCCAACCGGGGCTGCCTTCAGCTCGTGCTTCTCTGGAGCAGCAGCTCCCAGGTTACCCAGCGAGGCTGAGCTGCCGCCCACACCGGGTCCCTTATCTGGGTGCTGCTCCCCGTCGGGTACCTGCTCTGCAGCTGGCAAGGGAGGGATGCTTTGAAGCTCCGGTTCCACCCCAGAGCTGCGTGTGAGGAGGCCAGGATGGAAAAACCAGTTGCTCTTGAAGTTGCTTGTCCCCGTGGTACTGCAGGTGGGAAATGTGGTTGCCAGTGAGTCACTAGGGCCACGCTCTGAATTCACCCGTGCTACCAAACCGGGAGAGGTTTCAGGTTTATTTTCTCCTTACACTCTTCCTTAGGAAGTTTGTGTGCTGAAGGACGTGAAAAGCAAACTGTTTGTCCCCCCCTGCCCCTGCAGGAGAAGCTTCCTACAGTAATTAAACATCTCCAATCACGAAACCAAACGCCCATCTCCAAACCCATTAGGAACGGCCCGTGCTGCGAGCCGGCTGTGATGCACCGCTCGGATCCGTGAGGGCACCAGCGTGGGCTTCCTCACGCGAGACCCTCCCGGCTGCGGGGCGAGGAGCGCACTCCGGATCACAGCC